ATGCATGTATGTATGTATGCATGTATGTATATATATATATGTTATATATGCATATGTATATATATGTATATATATGCATATGTATATACATGTATATATATGCATATATATATATATATATATATATATATAATATATATATATATATATATATATATATGCACACACACACACACACACACACACACACACACACACACACACACAATATATATAATATATATATATATATAATATATATATATATATATATAATATATCTTTCTCTCTCTATATATATGTATATAGGGAGATGGATACGTATGTATACACATACATACATGTATGCATGTATACATACATACATATTGCCACCGGTAAAGCCTATCATAAAAAAATCCCTCCCTCGTAATAAGAGAACCAAAACACTAGATAAAGAATAGATTAAGTAACCATCCTTTATTCTCCAGATTTATTTTGTTGATATCTTGTCCGTAATTTAATGTAAGTTTAATTATCTATTTGTAATGATGAACACAAAATATGTTGTTCTTAAGGGGACCGTCCTTGAGAGGGGGGGGGGGAAGGGGGTTAAATTGAGTTAGTTAACGTATAGTATAGGTACATGGATGAGGAAACTACCAAACGAGTATTTGTTGATATCTTGTCCGTAATTTAATGTAAGTTTAATTATCTATTTGTAATGATGAACACAAAATATATGGTTCTTAAAAGCAACGGTTGGTTTCTGGGTTTTATTGTATTTGGATTTGAGTCACAATGGTTCGCACTGAAACGCTTTCAGATCGGTTTCGTAAAGCACGCATTACCAGCCTCTGCTGCCGTATCCCCCGCCGGCCGAAGCAGCGTGTCCTCCGCCTCCGCCAGACGGAAGGGTGCCGACGCCGACCAGCTGAGCCCGGACGATGCTGGCGCCGCTCGACCTGCCGTGGCCACCGCGAGATCCTCCTCCGTGAGAGCCGTAGCTTCCGCCGCCTGTGCCGCCGGTGCTGGGAAGAGTGCCAACTCCGACCAGCTGTGCTTTCACAATTTGCGGACCTGTGGACCTCCCGAAGCTGCTCCTCGATCCGCTTCCATGCGAACCATAGCTTCCGCCGCCTGTGCCACCGATGCTCGGGAGAGTGCCAACACCGACCAGCTGTGCTTTCACAATTTGCGGAACTCTGGATCTGCCGAAGCTGCTCCTCGATCCGCTTCCATGCGAACTATAACCTCCACCGCCTGTGCCACCGATGCTCGGGAGAGTGCCAACACCGACCAGCTGAGCTTGGACAATACTAGGTCCTCTGGAGAACCTGTGTCCACCACCGCCTCGGGTGCCATATCCCCCAGTGCCCCCATGGCTGCCTCCACCGGTGCTGGGAAGAGTGCCAACGCCGACAAGCTGTGCCTTAATGATCCTGCCACCGCCGCCACGGCCACCGCCTCCCCCTACATGGCCTCCTCCTCCCCTGCTGCCGTAGGAGCCATGGCCGCCTCCACAGCAACCTCCGGGCGCAGCTGCGGCGACACTCAGCGCCGCCACGAAAGCTATAGCTATCTGTGAGAGGACATGGTTGGAAATGATCAGGCTTCCGTAAAATGACACAAGCATGGCTATCTATAAAGACAATTCTTTATCCATATCATTATGTTAATACACATATATGTATATGAATTTAAACACTAGTAAGGCTCACGATGCAAAGATCTGATATATATATATATATATATATATATATATATATATATATATATATATATATATAATATATATATATATATATATATATATATATATATATATATATATATATATATATATATATATATAATATATATATATATATATATATATATATATATATATATATATATATATATATATATATATATATATATGCACACACACACACACACACCACACACACCACACACACACACACACACACACACAAACACATTTATATATACAAGCATACACACACACATACACACACGCACACACACACACACACACACACACACACACACATACATATACATCCAAATATAAACATACATATAGAAAGAGATAGATAGATAGATAGAGATAATATGGTAAAACACTCAATTGTGTTGCTATTACGGTAGAAAACCCCACAATACACAAACGAAATATTGAAAATGGGGATCTTGTTCGTGCATTGTAGATTTTCTACCACACACATAGAAACACACACATACGCACACGCATTCATATAATACGAGCGCGCGCACACAGACATTGGTATACATGCATATATGGAAAATATGTTCCTGTATATCTTCTCAGTTATGATACGTAATGCTAGTTACACTATATATAAAAACACTCTTCCACCAAACTTGACAAAACGACCAGACACACAACAGGACCCGAGGCCTCACGACTTACGAAGGACCGCATGGCTTGCTTTTCCCTTCCCAGCGCTGGAGAGAAGCCGATATGCCGGCTTGTCGCTCCTCGTCCTCTTATATACCCTTCCCCAATCCTTTCCCA